ATCAAGAGAGCTGTTATTTTTATCTTCTTTTACCAACTCATGAGTAACATTAAAGGTAGAACATTTAACTGAGGAATCTTCACTATATATTCTCTCAGGATGCACCTACAAATCTCACATTGAGACATCCACCCAACTTCCATACTGTACAGTAGCCAAAACACAAGACAGGCCCAAGTTATACAGAGAGAAAAGCTGTATAAAGACCTTCACACAGAAGTGTGACTGCAGAAAAAATTTTTATCAAAAGAGATGCTATTTTAAGTAGTACAAACTTAATTTTCCCAGAGTACATTGCCAGTTCACATAGCTGTTCCTCCTCCTTACGTCCCTCCTTCTAAATAACAGCCAATTAGAGCATAGACAGAAGCAACTGCATATATGTACCCAAAAAAAAAATTCCAAGAAAACAACGAAAGAATTTGCAACCCAATTTCAGACAAGCAGAAGAGTTAAAGTGCAGTAAGAAGTCCTTCCAAAACAACTTGTGTTTTAGGGATTTTGTAAAGCTGCTTTCTAGTTGTACATAGAAAGAACACAGTAACTACAGCAGCCAATTAGCATCCAAACCACTGGGKTTTTTTTAAAGACAGAAAAAAGGAAATGCATTTCTTCCTACAGTATGACTTAGTAATTTACTAATTCTCAAGGTGACCCAATAYATCTGCAGCTGGGCCTCCATCCTCTCCATGAGGGAAAACAGCCTGTTGCTGGCGCAGGGCAAACCACGCCTCTGCCCCCCAGGGCTTATTCAGACTAAGACAACCTCTCCTCATTTCAGATAGAGACTACAGCAGCTGTTCCAATAAAGCGGCATCTCACCTTCATCAGCTGCACATGAAGGACACACAACAGCTAACTCAGGATGGCCACATGTCTTCCTACACTGACAGCAGGCACGATCACCCTGTTTCTCCATCCTCCTTGATGCTGCATCAGCGCTACTACTATAGAGCAGAGTAATACACAGGGAATTCAGCTGTGCTGCCAACGCTCCTCTTCCTCCTCGCCTCAAACATCACAATCATGGCAGAGAAAGAACAATTTCTGGGAGCAGCCATGGTCTGCTGCTGCTACCTGCACTTGTACAAAACAGTGACAGAGTACATTTGTACTACAGTTCTCTGGATATTTGAGGATGAGACTGTGGGAAGATCTGCTGTCCACAGTTTGTGGTTCCAGCTGATAAGYTGGCATTTGGCTCAAACACTGCAAGCTTCTATGTTTGAAACACCACAAAACAAACAAGTGGCCACCAAGAATTCTGTGATGCACCACAAGTCAGCAGGCAACTGATAATGCAGTAATATATTCAAAACCAACATTACAAAGTCAAAGAGGGTTTGAGTGTTCTGTGGCAACTATATCTTTAACAGGCATAACATTTCTTCAGCTGAAAGGAAGACCTGGGCCCTAGTCACTTGTATGTAAATCTGTAACTTGTCCAAGAAACTGCTGCTGCATTTCAAGCCTKTGCACACCGTACTCATGACCTGCTCTAGCAATGGGGGAGCACAGTCATAAGACCAGCTTGTTGCGGGGCAGCTCTACCAACAGGTTTGACACCTGGAAGCAGCTACAGCAGCTGAGCGCTTGATGTCCTCCTACTCCCTTCAAGGGAAGGAAGTACCTTTTGAAGAATTTTAAATTATCATCTCAGCTTAAACTCACACCTCTTATACTTGGCAATAATTTTTGTGATCCTCCTTATCAATTCCCAGTCATGCACAGAACTTGCCCTTCCCCCTGCCTTTGGCAACAATGGATTTGAAAATCCCCTTGCCTGATCTGTCACACTGGTAAAAAAGCCCTTTCTAATGCCTCGTCATTACTTATAGGCTACTGAGTGGCGGTGGCAGTCTCAGATGGAAGAAACTGTCTTTTCCCAGAGTGGCTCCTGGGACCAGGATTCGAAGTACTGAGAAAAGTTAGAGAAGCGTAGCACTGAAAATACCCTGGTAACAGCCGCTGCTGTACTTCCACAGCGCTCCTGTATTTCTGCGATGCCCGCTAAATGCTGTCGCCACCTCCTCCCGRCCACCGCTATTGTCACCCCTTCTACAGGGAGGGCCACTCGCGCTTCGTCCCCTTCCCGAGCGCGGCCCGGGACCGAGGAGGGGCCGAGCAGCAGGAGCAGGCGGGGCTGGCACAAGTTTGGCGCCGCTCCGCTGCTCGCCCGCCGCTCTCGGCAGGGCTCTTCCCTGCAGCCGGGCGCTTCTGCCGGGGCACCGCGGCTGCCGCCGTCCGCCCGCGCCCCCGCCGTGGGACAGCGCCGCCGCTCCCGGTGCCGGGCAGGGGCCGCGCGGTGCCCGGTTCGCTCTGCGCCGGGAGCGGCCGCTCCTCCGGGGGCGGCGGGGACGGGGCGGGCCTGACGTCAGCGATGAGGTGCGAGGCCGGCGCGGAGGAGGCGGCGCGCACCGACCGGCCGCGCTGGGAACTGCGGAGCGGCTCCGGTGCCGCGCTGCGCGCCCGGCCGCCCCGGAGACACCAAGTTCAAACACGCCATGCCCCCCCGCCCGCCCGCGCACAAGTCCCAACCACGGGCGCTTCTCTCAGAACCGATTCAACCGACGCGCTCTGGCCCCGCAAATTTCGCGGGGAGCCTGAGACCGGCTCCCGGCTCGGCGGGGGCGCGCCCGGCAGACCAGTGGAACCCGCCGGCCCCTCKGCCGCTGCCCCCGACAGGCCCGCGCCGGACCCGGCTGTCGCCCCCCGGGCGCTCCGCCAGACCGCCCCGGTCCCGCCAAGGGCCGGTCCCCGCTGCCCGCGCCCCCTTTCCCACCGAGACGAGCCCGCTCCCCCGCGAGGCCACTGCCCCGGCCCGGGGGAGGCACCGGGGAAAGAGCCGCGACGGCAGAGGCCGGGACGCGCACTCACCTGCCCAGACGCCCAGCGCCGGCCCCACGGCGACCGCGCCGCTGCCCAGCACCCAGACGCGGAGCCCGGACAGCAGGCGGTACGAAGCCAGCGCCGCCGCGTAGACAGCGCCCAGCGCACCCACCCAGTAGAGAAGGCCAGCGGCCGGGAGCGCGGCGGGAGCCACCATGCTGCGGAGGCTGCCGCGGCCGGACTGAGCCCTCCCGGCCACCGCCGCCCCGAAGCCGTCACGGCGCCCGCCCCCGCCCCGCCGCGATTGGCGGAGGGGCCGCTCAGCCACCAGGTAACCCGGCAACGCGGCCGGGCCCGCCCGCCCTGGGGCCGCCCGGCCCCGCCGCGCCGCGAAGGGGGGGGCAGGCAGCGAGCGGCCACACGCCCCCGTACTACTTGCGGCCTGCGCCCCACGTGGTCGGCAGCGCTCTCTTGCCGCCATTGGCCGCAGAGCATGTCCGTCACYCCGCCGCCGCACCTCCATTGGTCCCACCGCACGGGCACCTCGCGGGATTGGCGGGACGCGCGGCCTCGCCTCCCGCCCCCACTGACGTCATATGAGCCCATTCATAAAATGCTCAGGCTCCGCCTCGCTCCCGAACATGTCCCTCGGTTCCCCTCCCCCACAGCCCGCACTGCGCTCGCCCACGGAACCGCGCCGTGATCGCCATGGCACGGCACGGCAGGGACCCCTGGACACAGAGAGCCCGCACCGGGGCACGGCCATCCCCGAGAAAGCGGGGCTGGGCACCACAACCCGGCTACCATTGCCCCCCACGCACCGCGGGGCTGGCAGCGCTCTCCCGTCTGACCGGCCTYGATCTGCCTTCCCCGACAAGATCCAGGGTCAACGGAGGCCTCCTGAAATATTTCCCCTGAACTGACCATTTGTTTTACCATGCCTGCCCCATCGCCCTTCACCTGCCCGTTTGACACGACCTCTCTCCCAGGGCTGCACACACGATGGGTTAGGAGTGCCTGGATTGGGAGATGTGTAGGAGACACCTCTGAAATGACACACACAGACACATGCACCCCGTCGGTGGTTCCTTCCATGGTGCTGAAGGCACAAAGCCCCCCTGCCTTCTGTCCCAGCTCCAGCCACCTGGTACCATGCCACCCGTACCTCACCTGTGGGCCCAGGAGGGAGCCTGGGGCAGAGAGCATCTGGGACAGTGTAGGGTGTGGGAGGCTGATGCCCTGAAGTAGCTGTGGTTGAGATGCATTGCTTCAACAGCTGAAACAGCAGGAGTGGCTGAGGTTCATGGAAAGTCAGTGGCAATTTCRTGTAAAGTGTAGGTCAATTAAAATGTCAGAGAAGACCACAGAAGTGGTCACCCTTTTTAAAGGGAGCCTCTTGCAATTTTCAGTGCCAACATTTTTTTTCCAGAAAACAAGCCCTTTATACCATTCATTTGACAAAGACCTCATTTTAAGTTGTAAGAAACCTTCTCTAGATGAGGCTTTTTGGAGATCCACATCCAAGTCATTAACAAGAAACATAATAGGGGGTAGTCTTGATGYTGCCTTTCCTTTCTCTCCTGCACTGGCAAATAGGTCATACCCTATCCAGCCACTACTGCTGAAGATCTCCAAGCTGTAGCAGCTGCCAGTCTGCAGCCATGTCCCCCTCATCCATTTCTTTGCGTTACTTTCCACACYCCATGCCGATGCCAGATGCAGGCTCCAGGAGCCTCATCTGCCATATCCCAGCACACCTCAGGTCTGGCTTTCCTTTACAGATCCACTCCTGCAGACTGCTTATTGAATGGATTTTCAAATCCTCTACAATTTCTCTCRTCTCGTCCCATTCAACATTTCTTAACCCTTGCCTGCTTCGGAGTTTGGAAAGAGCTCATGTAAGGTGCCACCCTCATTCTAACAATAAACAGTACCCCAAGTGTTGCACCTTGAGGCCACAACCTGACCAYACTGCAATGTGAATGCAGTTACAGGGACTATCGCCATCTCAACGCTCTCATTTAGAAACAAGACAACATGTATGGCATCAGCTACCTGATGCAAAGAACTGTATATCCTGAGATACCTGAGGCTGCATTTTTTGACCTTTCATCTATGCTMAGGGAAACAAGACCAAAGAAATTAGCTGAAAATTTGCTGTGATAGGTTTATCACTTTTATTAGTTCAATAAAAAGAAATGTTTGCTACATTTTCTGTTATTAAATATATATAGACAAAATAGCTTTTCACTCAAAAATACATAATTAATAGAAATCAAAGGCTTCTGTTCATAATCTACTTGTGGAAAACAATTACATTTATAGTGGGATTCAAATTTCATTGGACTCAACAACACACTGGCTGCAGTGATGTCAATTAAAGGCATGACTATCATACACTCTGCAACGAAAAATGAGTCAAGCCACTGGCTGACCTATAGCTTTACAGTGGATTTTTAGAAATGAATGTTTATCATATAGTAGTTGYATCAGACCTAATAGGAGAAACATATCATAGGATTTTGTTCTGTTTCACAACAAGAAACATCCATCCTTCCATCCTCATGGTGAATTAGTTCACCTTTTTTTTTTTGCTTTTTGCTTTTTTTAGAGTATGTTGTGATATGCTAGSGCTATCTCCTGCAGTCATTACACAAGGAAAATCCTCATAGGCCTCACCAAGTGTGTAGTCGACATAACGCTCTCCAAAGACAGGACTTGGATTAAAAATAAGAGCAAAATGCTGGGATAATTTTCCTCTTGTTCCATACCAGCCTTTCCTTAATTTGTAAGCCTATTTTAATCTACATAGAGAATCTTGGCATTTTTGCATAAACACTTGTGTGTTAGAAAGAAACTATATTGTTACAGCAAAAGAAAAGAACAGCRGTAATCAGAGGGAGGTTCGAGTGCCATTCCTCGTTGGGATCATAGTGCTATTGTAAATTATTAGAAAGAACATGTGCTTGCTGTAGTCACATCACCCTGTTTTCTTCTATTGGCTGTCAAGGCAGTTCTCAACTGTTCGTTGTTGCAGAATAAATGACACATTGCTGATCCTTAYGTTTTTGTCTTCCAGAGCACAGGTGGATGTGGCAGAAGTATCTGGAAAGAGAAAAGGTAGAAAAGAGATCTACTATGAAGAGAGAAAAGAGATCTGCTGCAAGTCAAAGACAACACAAGAGCTGAAGCAAAGGACGAAAGGTAACAGMATGGTCACCAGAGTCACCAGGTGTTGAGAACAGAAGTGGACCTGGCAGCTGGACAAAATGTATAGAGGATGGAGGAAAGGAGATGAGTGTTGGGCAACCTCCTACTGGACATCCACGTTAGCTGCACTRCAGTTACCAAGGGTATGCTGCCAGCTACAAATGGGTCAGAAATAGGGATGGAAAAATGGGTGCTACGAAACATTTRTTGGTCTGTCAGTCTACCCATCTTCTGTTGTAACATCTCCTGCCCACTGCACTGCAGTTGTGCTGCTCCTGAGACCTCTTGTCTGAACAACCTTCTTGTGGTGGGTCAGGACAGAAGCTGCCYCACTGTTCTCTCTGGAGGACTGATAAACCCCTTGACAGAGAAGCACAGACACAGCAAGGAAGTCCTCTAGTTTTTTTTTTTTTGTGTTAAAATAATAATACTGGTTATTCAACAGTGTTGCTATTTTTTATGCTACTCTGCTCGGAGAGAAAGGCAGTCCTCTGAGAGGCTTACAGTCTACATTTAGAAGGAGATGAGTCACAGGCAGGGAAAGGGACTCATTGGAAGGGAAAGCATTATACAAAGGTCAAGTGAGGGGTTTTGGATCTCTTGCTTATGGGCATCACACATTTCTGAGCAACAGGCACATCCCCCTTTCCAGGGTTAATCCCAATATTCTCATGAGCTTTGCAGGTCTGTTCCCATTTGCCGTAAGCTGCTGCAAATCCCAAAGGAGCACCCCCTCRGCTGAGCTGATGAAACAGACAGGCGTTTTGAGTGTCCTCACGCATCARCATGCACACACATGTATATGAGGATACCTTGCCAAGGCCCCAGAGATCCATATTTCCACAGCCTCTTTTATCAGTTCAGGCGTGTAGTCAATTCCAGATGACTGCAGATGCAATCTGGGTCAGGGCGGTGATGCAAGCCTCAGTCAACCCACAGCTTGGCTATGTTGCTCCATCATATGGATCGTGGCCAAGCCGTACAGCAGATCACAAGAGAGACGAAAGAGGTCTCCAGGAAAGCTAAAGAAGTAGAGACATGCATGACTGAAAAATGCAGCAAGAAGGAATAAAAATTAAGGAGACAGAACTACATAGAGGACGACAYCAAAAGGAGACAAACAAAAATATAGCACAGGAGCAATAAAACTCAATGAATAGAGGATAAGAGTACCCACTAAGAAGAAACATTCARTTTTTACTATGAAGTTTCTCTGTGACATTGCTGCCACAAGTTCCTCACAAGCAATCACACATCTCAGTGAGACTGCATTCCCATGTCTCACACATACATGYACCCTCCTGCCCTGCTCTCTCAGTACCTGAGGAAAACACCTCTCACTACAAGCCCACAGGTGAGATCCCAAGACAGTCATTCACTGTCCCCACAGTGAGGCGTAGCTTGGGGGTCTCAGCATTCAGGAAGCCTCAGCACAGGGATCCACTCCTCATCCCAGCCTGCAGTGCTGTCTGCTCTGCAGCAACCCTGAGAGAAGGATGGGGGACTGCTGGTTATCTGTGATGTGTCACGTTTTTTTCTGCCACGGAGAAGTGTAGTCATTTGTTTCATTAAATGGCATTCTTGTACCCAGCACTAATTTTATCCCTCTACAAATATGTTTTTCACTCTAGCAACCCAAGAACAGCTCTCCCCCCTGTACAGTCATTCTGCTCTCATGTCTCTCTTACCATTACTCACCCTTATTGCAGTGAGGCCAGATTCAATAAAGGCCTGGCTGCTGCGGTGCTGAGCACYGCAGTGTGTCTTTGCCTGAATTCACAGCCCCAAATTAAGATACTCTGCCCCAGTGCACACTGAAGGTAAGAATTAGAATACCTAAGAATGTAAGCCTCATTGTCCATCCTGTTAACTGAAGAYCTCTACAAGAATCAGTCAGACATGCCAAGAAGTCTCTTAAGACACCTCATCAATTGTTGACTTGATAGTAATGCTGAGGTCRGGCAAGATACTTTATGTGGAATTCCAGCTCCTCAGCCTTTCTTTAGGCACCTACTCCATCTCCTTGCAGGAGTCATGGTACCCCTCTGAGCCCTACACTATTTAGCACATACCCAGGCGCTTGGGTTTCCCTCCTCTGCCTGAAGAGCAGCAAAGTGCTTCAACAACATGGCACAGATGTGTGCTGGGTGAGGTGATTTTGGTTGAAGCTGTTGCACAGCACACAGAATCATCATATCACAGAACTACACAATGGCCTGGTTTGGAAGGCAACTTAAAGATCATCTACTTGCAACTCTCCTGTCATGGGCAAGGATGCCTTTCACAAGGCCAGGTTTCTCAGACATGGCCTAGAACATTCACAGGGATGGGGCATCCACAACTTCCCTGGGCAACCTATTCCAGTGCCTCACTACTCTCAGTAAAGAACTTCTTAGTAACTRTTTTTCTTTAGGTTGTAATGATAGGAGAGAAGCTATGATAGGGGACCAGAGGAGCTGGGGCAGGTATTCTCATCCCCATCCTGTGCATACATCTTAAGCATATGTTAAAGTGGTGTATCTGGGCAAGTCTGGAAGCAGGTATTTATGCACCTTTCCTCCCTACTGGCATGCTACACATGAATCAGGTGCTTGAGGATCCACGTTTCAGACTTGGGCCTTGCCAGCTGGTTCTCAGCAGGACTCCTGTGGGTCTAACATAAGGCACCTCAAGCTGATCAGCCCTGCTCTGCAGAGCTTGCAGGAGCAAGGGTGCAAAAGAGAAGCAGCAGCTTGAGAGAAAGGGATGCAATCAGTAGCATTACGTGCCATAATCAATAAGCAAGTAAGCATAAATTTTGATTGATGCAATTGCACACTCTTGACTATGGTTTCTATGAGAAGTGCAGAAACCTGCAAACACAAGACAGCTGTGAAACACAAGTCTTAACTTTGAAACTGAGTCATTCAGGCATTTCAGGTTACCACATCTGTAACACCTATACACACCTTGTTTCTCAAAAAAACCTTCAGCGTCAGCAACCTGTCCTGCTTCAGGGAATAAAGTCCCAAATTTCTCAACAACAAAACACTCCAGGCAAATGTAGCAATGGAAGATAAACAGAACCTAAAATCAAACAATAGCTGGCATATTAACTCGTTCAGTCTATAGATTTCTGTAAATTTAATATGCCATGCAGATGTACACAGTTCTTCACAAGAAGGCCTGTTCAGTTTCCCTTATGAACAGGAAATTATACAAATGGCACTACAAACTTCTAGCACTTGATACAGGGATTTTTCACTTTTACCTACTATGGATTGACAAGTGAGTCTCCTGTAAAAATCTCAAAATTCCTCTTTTTGTTGCCATTTGCTATTTAGAGTTCTCAGAAATGACTGCAATGGAGAACTCCAGATCCTCTCACCATGCACACCAAGGACAGGCTTAGAACGTGTATATAAAGAGGGGGTTGAGTTTTTTAATCACCAGCAACATTGGAAATCAAGTATTAGTAAAAAAAATTCTAATAGTTGTGCATGAAGAATTTAAGTGCAGCATCTGTTTACTGGAGACATAATATGGCCAAAGCAATAGATTAATGTTACTCAATCTCACAACCCACTGAACGATTCTGAGTTGAAGATACCATCTATAGAAATTAAATACTGTGTGCTCATTATTTAATCCTTGATGTCTCTTCTACCTGGTTTTGTAACTACAAATGAGTGATACAGATAGTTATCCACATAAAATGAACAAGTTCAGGAACGCATGTCCCTCACAACCCTGCCAACACTCAGTGTCACCTTGACATATTCACTTTTGGACTCAGATGATGGACTACATTTGGTAATAAATCTGTCTTCTCATCCTTTTTCAAAAATCTGTCGTCCTCAAGTGTCTCCTTAAAGATTCACATGACTGACAGTTCTGGTGCCCCTGCCAAAACCCTGTATTTGTAGAAGAGTCTGTCTGGCCACTCCCAGTATTCCACAAACATGAACTCCACTTTGAAAAATGCTGTTTAAGCACAAGGTATCATTCCTAGAGAAAATGTGAGGGCAGAAAGTTCAACTGAGACCCTAGCAGGGACAAAAGTTGAGAGTAAAAAAAATTTCAGATTGCTATCTATCTTTAAAACCCAATTATGGACCTATATATTTTTCATCAAATTCTCCACACTTCCTTAAAATATTAGGCTTGCAGACTTCCCAGAATTCTACCATTAAAGTTTTAGCCATTAAATCTAGCATTTCAAAACCAACATTCTTTAAAAACAATGTGGGACCAGAGACACCTTAATAATGTTTCCACCCAACAGAACATCTATTCAGGGGTGTAAACGCTACCCCGCTCTAGACTTCAATGGAAATCTGAAGATATACAGCAAATGGCCTGGCCCTAAAGTATTTCTACAAAAAATWATTAAAACCAAACAAAGAGCGATTAAAAAAACACAACCAAAAAATGCTGCTGCAGGCTGCAGCAAACCCTCCATTTTTGAGTCTACTGCTACCAAACCAAGCTCTGGCATACTTTGGTTTTGTTCAGTGCGTAAATTCCTAGTACTTCTGTATATTGATCCTCTACTCATCAGCCAGCACCTGCAGCAAAGCAGCTGTATGTTTATTTATACATGTATGTGGGCATACRCGTGCACATTCCCCCAAGACTTGATTACATAAAACCTGCCAAAGAATGGATTTTTCCTACTCTTAGTAACAGCAATAACACCTTATTTTTGTTTAATACTAAAATATTAGCCGTTTTGTTTTTGTTGAGTTACGCAAATGTCATTATCAACCTTACCACATGAATGCTGCTCACTTCCATGACTTTGCTCCCCCAATCAGTGCTATTTCAAGAGGCCTAATACAGCCTAAGAGGASCAGAAACAAGTGACACCAGTGGAAGTGGCTCTTTTTATGGCAGGAAGCCTTTTAGGATGTCACAAGCAAATCAGGTCAGAAAATTTTCCTTTGCTGAAGGCCTAACACAGTGTTCCCACCATTTCAATGGGAAGTTCATGACTTCCTTCCAACTCAAAAAGGTCAAGAAAAGAACAAGAGAAAGAACCTGCTATGAATAGAAATTATTTTCTTTTAAGAATCAGACTCATGATGGAAAAGAAAAATAGTTTTCATGAATCTAGGTTAAAAAACAACCAAGCATGTTTCATTCCACACTCATACCATCACTTTATGGCCACACCTCTGCCCTGTACACCTCAAGGTAGCTGTCAGTAGCTCAAATCCCACTTTACAGAAAAGGAGTACAAGAAGCCATTTAGAAATCATACATATTTATTTGTCTTCCTAGTCTTTCACACTGTCCCATACCAAATGAGCCCRCCATTTTCATGACTTGTTCACCTCCAGGCATATGAAGGAAGTTTAATTCTTATAATCCACTCACTTCTTTGCTTCAGCAACTACTGAAAGTGCCACTAGTAGTACTTAATGCATAAATTGATGATTAGATTGATTTTACCCAATTTATTTTTTAGTTTTCTATTGACCACTGAACAGAAAGTTACCTCCTTAAAACATATTATTTCTCTTGAATAACCTGCTACAGCTGTAGAATGAAAAATAAAATTAAAATGGATGACTGAGCAATGATTTCTTAACTCCCTGTGGAGATTTCCCAAAAGCCAAAATGCCAAGTAAAAATCTAAACTGTCTGCCTAGAGGACAGCAGCCTTGCTGAAAAGCAATGTTCTTTAATCTTTAGGTTCTTCTGTTAATTCTTCATTGCTGCACTAAGTGCTGTATGTAAAAACTATACAGTCCAAAAGGCAGAAAAAAAAAGACACAAGGTCTCAGGAAACAACCCAAGAAAGCTGATTATACCTACATTTTAGAATGCAATATTGTCTTGGCCTAGAGGACTGAGTTTTTAGTTAAAAAACTTGTTCCATGACGACTTCTACAAATAGTCCATCCAGGGACAAGAACAGGTAGCACCTTCAGCCACGGTGTCCGAACCAAACACACAGTTCACAGCAAACACAACCAAACTACTCGGATGTATTAAGGGGCATATTAAAAGGAAATTAATGTAACAAAAACCAGCAGCACTTTCAAAATGGATCCACTGTAAATGAACTTATCAATTTCAGAATCCATTTAACTGATACACAAGAATGCAACATTATGTGAGGGGATATCCASGATTCCCAAGCCAAATTCCCCTCTACTATGCAGAACCCAACACTGATGTTCTTTCCTGGATACATAAAAATCCCTTGTAAAAGAAATTTAAACTTCTTTCTAATTTGAAACCGCTCCAGAGTATTGTCAATCTGAKTTAGAGCTCCTCCTGCAATTTCCAGCAAAGTTTACCCATTATCCCTTTTACACACATTTGTTTTGCTTTACTCTAATCTTGAGCTCATATAATTATTTTCCTTCCTTATATAACAACTGTGTAATTGTCACTTCTGTGTCTTTCTGTTAAGCCTCTCTATTCCTCTTAACATCCATGTGGTCCTTTTCTGCATCTGTTCCAACCATCTGTTTGAACCCATTTATCTGAATGTGGGTGRTAGCTGGGCTCCAGATAAGGTCTTAGTAATGCCAAATACTTTGACGGTAATATTTTCTATACGTACAGGAAATCTAGCCCTTAACACTTTCTAGGACACTATGTTGTTTTCCTTTTATTATTTTCTCAGCCACATCATGTGCTGTCATTTTACTGCTGACTATTACACCAACTAACAACTTGTCACTRAAGTGATGAACCCTTCTAGAATAAATTGTGATCAGTTTCTATTTGCATCACTAAATCTCATCTAATTCTATTAATCTCAGTTTTGATTCATCTTGTCAGCACATGGATATTCAAATCCTCCTTTCTATAAATACAGTCCATCAGTTCTGTGTCATAAGATTTTATCACCATTCTACTTTTTCACAAGTGTCACTAAAGAAAGAATTCCAGGTTTTCAAAAAYGCCAGTTTGCAACCTTCTTTCCGTCAGTACAGTCTCTTTCCACCTMTTATCTGTCAGTTCATTCCAAAGTCACCTTACAATGCAATGCAAATAATCCAAATTTTCTCCATTTTACATTATTTCTTCACACGGTTCAGTATCRAAGTTTCCTCACAATGAAACATAAGGTAACAAGGCAGTCTGGCACAGTCTTTTTTTTGCTAAAACCATGCTGCATTTCATCCCACCTTTAATTTCTCAGTGATCTTACTTTGCCCTTCAAAAACTGTTCTACAGCTAAGTGTACAATGGCTGCCAGATTAGATCAGATCTATTACTAATCTTGTGTTTCCTTTGGGTACCCTCAACTATTTCACCAYCTAGATGCCACTACTAATACAGTACAGTATTTGCAGTTAGATTATACATTTTTAGAAAGGTGATATATTGCATCTATTGTGCTAAAGCACAAATGCAGTTCTAATGCCTTGCACTGAAAACAGAATCCAGGAAAATCTACTACTGTAAAACTGGAAAAGTAATGCTTAGAATGGGGACACAGCAGGCCATATACTAGTAACACATTACAACAGATTATTAGTATTTTCCTTGCCTTGATATTTTCTGTTTTATTTTATTCTGGACTTGCTGATTTTGTATCTCAAGCCAACTTCAACAGCTTCACTCTGCAAGTTCAGCCACCAGGGGTTATAAAGCTGACACTAAAGGCAGTTATCCTTTTCCTGTGGCTATTTAAACCATTTCTTTTGTAAGCAAAACATTTTTTCCTCCATTAGAACAATACCTTCCCTTGAAAGACCCCATATATTTCACTTTGTGTTCTTTCTTCTGAGAACCATCTATGTACACTTTAAGAACTGTATTTCAGGTGGTATCTGATGTGCTTTCTGACACAAAAATGTTCGCAGRGTTCCTCACATACCTCTTGCAGAAAATGAGCAATAGAAAACAAACCTACTAYGGCATATTTCCTTTTTTGTTTGAGCTCAACAGCATAATTTTCTTTGCATTTCATTTATTAGTTAACAAATAAATAACGTTTTCTTCTGAATCTCAAGAGGATTTAGTATTATCAAGGAAAATAACCTAACAAGAATTTTTCCATTCCCAAGAGAAGTTTAAGCATGCTCAGCCTCAAGTTCAGCTGACTGCTGATGCATGACACCACTGTCTTTCAAAATCTGCTTCCAAAACATAAGGAGGAAAACAAAACAAACAAACAAAAAAAAAAAGCACAACTAAAATTTACTAAATTCAGATTGATTTATTATTTGTCATTCCTTTGATACATAGAGTAGCCTATCTGTAGTTAATTAATAAGTTGTTTTGAAACATCACAAGGTTTAACAAGAACCGACTTTGCACTATCGGCATAAATTAAATTAACACGTAGTATATTTCGTCGTTTTTATTCCCTCCCAGCTTTGTCTGGAGAGAAAATACCCAGCTACGACGCAAACTACCAAGTTCTGTTTGCTTCCTGCGTCTGTCCCGTAACTTCAGCGTACTTCAGCACTTTTCCACGCATCATAATTCTTCCACTTCRCATTTGAAAACACAAAATAAAAAAMCCCAACTTATAGATAAAACCATTGATCCCGTCCTGCCATGTGGCAGCCTTGGCTACCCGCGCAAGCCGAGTGGCGAGGAGGCGGCAGGAAGGCTCTATCTGTCCGCTCTCCGGCTCGGCGCAGAGCTCAGCACGAGTGGAAGCAAAGCTCCGCGCACGCACAGAGCCCGTGAGCCGGTGCCTGTCCGGGGCATGAGCAGCTCTGGCAGCGGCGGGGCAGCAGGAGCCCCAGAGCCGCCCGTGTGCTCTGACCAAAGCAAATCCCCCGCGGGGGAACGCGGCTCCGGGGAGCGCTGCGGGACCAGGCTGCGGGAAAAGGGGCAAACCTGCCACTGACCGGCCGGGCCGCGCCTCGAGGCCGCTGCTCATTGCGCCGGGATAACGCCGGCGTTCCCCGAAACACCCGTCCGGACACGGGCCGGGCCAGAGCTCCCTCCCGCCCGCCGGGACAGCGGCGGCCCCGCCACACSGAACCGAGCGAGCGCCGTCACCGCCGCTGCCGACCAATGGCGGCCGTTCCCGGCAGTTCCCGGCATGCCGGAGTGCCTACAACTCCCGCCGGCCCCCGCGCCCCGCCGCCCTTAACCCTCTGTGGCGCTGGGGCCCCTTTGCCGGCCCGCCCGGCCCCCCCTCGCCGCTGCCCCGTGTGTCCCCACCGGGACCCCCGCCCGGCTCCTCCGCGGCCCCCGAGGAAGAGCCGCCCTTCCCCCGGGCCGCCGGCGGAGCTCGCTCCGAGCGCCCGGCCCGGCACGGCGCGGCACGGCCCAGCGGCGGGCCCGGGCCGCTGATGCTGTGGCGGGTTTCTGTACTCCCGCAGTGTGGTTTCTGGTCCCAGCCACAACTGTTTGTTACTGGCATCAACTGCATGCTCCCTGCCACATAATAAAAAACAGGTGAATATATCTTATTCTAGCTGGTGGGGCTTTWAAAAATTTATTTACTGATGTTTTAGAAGGCAAATTGTCATAAGCAAATTAACTCAAAAATAGCTTTACAACCCCTAGAAAACTTTGGGACAAAGTTAGTAAAAAATGCTGGGTTATTCTGCAGTGAAACTAATGTGAAAACTCAGTCACACACTCATATTCTGCCCTCCTTCCCATAGACTCTTCATASAGATGCTCAGTATACGTATGACTAACACACACAGCACTATTTCAGTTCCTCTCTTAAAATTAGTAGTAAACAATGTRCATGCAGCTATCCTGCTGGGAGCTAAAAAATAATCCAGAGAGTCAGAATCCATTTATAAAGTAAGTGAGGGACGGGGTAGATAGCACAAGTTCAGGCAGAAGTAGCACCTCAGAGTAAAATCCACTGAGTCTCACCCGGCCCCCCTCCACAGCGCAGCACTGCACCCCGAAACACCCCCGCACACACGCAGAGCTCATTCCCTAGACTTCTATTTTATTTGCAATATATTTTTTAACGAAGCCTCATGCAGCAAACACAAGTCAAATAGCTCTAATTTGTAGTGCTGCACACTGTAACATGCTCAGACGTGTAACTGACTGACAGACTACACAGAAATCTGGCTTAGGCTCCAACCTCTGAGACAAATGCAGATATCCAGAAACATTCTGCTATTTCTCCAAAATTAAATTACAAGTAAAACAAACCTACTGCCAGATATTTCATGCAAATACATAATTTAAAAAAAAAAAATCACCACAAATTCATTATTTATTTCAAACTATAAACAACACAGAGGAAAGAAACATATACGTTCTCCTTTTTAGAGAAAAAAAAAACAAACTTATCTATGGGAAAAGCACACACAGAACTTCTTTTTTTAAGTTCATTTTTTTTATACTTTGCCCCTTAAATAAGCCTACAAGCCAATACATTTATGTAGAGAAAACACAATTGGAAAACATTTTTATGTTGCACTGTTTTTGGATACTTAGAGGAGGTTTTTAAAGACAATTCACAACCACGCTATTTCAAACAGTATGAATGTAATTATTTAGAATTTATTCTTTACTGCAGCAATTTTTACTTTGGTATGTTTTYCAGAATTTCCTGGGAAAACACAATCAGTTCCCATCTAGCTTAGCGCACCTACAACTGTTACCTCTTTCTCTACATTTTCTCTTCACAAATCAACTACAAACATTTTACAAATGTTTACATATACATAATAAAGTGAGAAGAAGGACAATACCAGAAGAGAAATGCTCAAAATCAAACTGAAGGTGTAAATGACCTCCTCCCATGTTCCAGACGTACCTACAAAATCCCTGCTCACTGGTACAGGATTATACATTCCATTATGAGTTCAGCCTTTTTATATTTTGTACTATTTTAACACCCTAAATTTATAGATTTTTTTAAACTGGCATGTTAAAAGGGCTTTATTTAAGAATTTCAATGAAAATAGTGTTATGTTTTGTCATATTACCATAATCCTTCTTTTTAAATCACTTAGAATTTCAGTATAACCTAATTAAGTAATTTTAAGTAAGTCTTAACCCAAATACATAGATCTAATAAAAATGTATTTTGCAAACAGGGAAAATAGACTTCTAAAATGGATTCCTCAGGTATGAACAAAGATACTGAAAGATTTCCTCCCTACAAACTTTGAGATCTTAACTATACCACTGCACTTACATTTAAAACCAAAATACTTATAAGAAAACAAATTTCACCAAATATCTACCATAATGTTTCATTCCAATTGTATTTATTTATTCCTTTTATATTTGAAAGAAATCTTTCTAATTTCCTTGCCAAAAAGGAGAGAGAACAGAAGAAGAAAAATACTTCAAAATCCTAACTACCTATCTGCACATACTATTTATCTCGAAACTCTTCTAACAGCAGTTTATACCTTTTTTAAGATAATGTATATTATTTTGCCTGTAGAAATATTATTATTTAGATTTTTGCTTTTTCAAAGGCTGCAGAACAACAGTATAGATTTTAGAGACTTCTAATAATTTTTAATCTCTCACTTTTTTCAATGCTACAAACATCCCATTTGKTAAATGGAATTTACATTTCTCTCTTGTCTAAATTATCAGAGTTTAATCAACAATTCAAGCCAGGAAGAGCAAGTGATGTACCGTAACACAATAGCAACTCCAACACTTTAACACAACTCCTCTATCTATTGGTGTATAAAAAGCTTACACAAAGTATAAAATATCTCAGAAATACAGACTCTTTCCTGATCAGAAAATTTTACTTATTGACTAATTTGACCCCAAGCAACAGCATTTTTCTCAAAAGGCATCCTGTCTAGAACTTTATGCCATTTACTGACTCCTTTTTAATTAACCAGCATGCTTTAAAACCAAGTCTTGGTCCTTCAACTTAATCAAAAYAGACTACTTTTAACTGTTATCGCATCAAATATATTTGTTAACACAATAAAGCCACATACAATTAGAAAGAACTGKTTTTTTAGCCCTGTCTCTGACCAACCACGGATTGTAGCATCTACTTCCAATTTATGAGCTATTCTAATATGAAGCAAACTGAAACACATAGCACAGTTCACAAATGCATTGATCTTTCTATAATATCCTATCATTTGCATCTTTTAACGGGRAAATCCAGTATACCACTGTCAGCAYTGCTGTTTTCCTGCAACTGATCGGACATCAGAAGGACTTGGTATTAACTTCTCTCCCTCACAACACTTTGCCTCCTCACCTCTCTCAAAACAAAACAAAAATATCCACGTTTGTCTGAAATGTCAATAAACTCCAAAATCTAAAAGGCCAAAAGGTCAGGTATTATTTAGTCTGAACAGAGAAGTTGTTTTTTTTTTCTCTCTATTGAAAGTCATGAGCAAGAGTGCGTTTACCTGAGAAGTGATGTCCATGTCCCTCGGACGTCCGTCCATCTGTCCCAGAACAGGGGTTGTACCACACTCTCTGTAACAGAAGAGAAAATAGATTTAAATTATTGTATGCCCAGACATATTTTTGCACATTGAAATTATCTGTCCCTCAAAAAGCTTTGTATCTTTTGGTCTGAAAAGCATTTTTAAACCCCTATTACATTCTAATTTGAGTCCTCAAAATTGGTTTTGATAAGTCAGGTATACATGTCAAAAATGAATTCCATAYATGGTCAGTTAAGTACCAGATTCTCCAGACCTGGTTTTCAGTTCTTAGAGGCCTCTATACTGCTGCAAGCTCTATCTCATTAGCAAAATTCAATCTGCAAATGGTGTTAATCTTACATTAAAATAAAAAATACATTTTACATACATWGAAATTTTTTTAAAAGCCATTTACATGAGGGACAAAGTCCTGAGATATTTCTTCCCACAGCAACTTTTCCCTCCTCTGCTTTGAAAGCTGAATACCTTCACAGATAAATAGGGTCTTTGCTTTACCCATTTTTCTGTGATTTCTGTTATTTTGTACTTACTTGTGATGCTGCAGAATTTACATAGGCCTGTAGTTTTGAGACTTCTATATCCTCCCTCCACCTGCGAGGAAGATACCAGCTAAGATCACTGTCTATACACTATTTCCCCCCCACGTTTTCCTTCTAAACTTTTCCAAACAAATGTGAGAGGGAAAAATGTTTAAGATAATGAGTACGAATTCAGTGTGCTAAATTAAAAAAAAAACCCACCTTGTTTCAGATTGTCCTTTAATAAGCATTATCAACATAAATCATGCTCAAAAAGCCTCAGCACAGTAGAGTGTTACATTTATGACTAAACTGCCTCAAAAAAAAAGATCTGTCATCTCTTACCCTTTTCCTTCCACAYTTTTACCCTCCTGATGCTGCTCAGACCTACAGCAGACTGTTGCTGCACATGTATTTTTCCACTCAATTTCCTAGATATTGAAAAACATGGACCAAGGAAGAACTTTGCACGATGATAACTTRTCTAAACCACTTATTTCCTCCATTATTTCTTTTGGTCCATGRCATCCCATGTGTTTTTTTACCCTCTATTGTTGTTTTGTTTGGTATATCCCCACTTTCCTGTACATTTGTCTSCTGCTGATCCTACTAGACTGAGTAGGAAGAACTGAATGTCCTTCTCTCCCCACTGCTATACTGCCTCTCATTTTTTGGTGTTTTATCAATTAAACACATTCAACCATCATTTTCATATATTTTTAAAGACACTTTTTTCTTTCTCTTCTCTAGAAACTTGCTGAGTACCGTCACAATACTTTTGTAAAGCAAGGGCAACCCTGTCCTGCTCTAGCACATGCTTCTATCAGAATATAGAGGGTACATGACTTACAAGCCTGTGATACAATGCATGAAAAAGGAAAATGCATTGGAAAGAAAAATAGGGTAACATGTACAGATGCCCCTAAATATCATAAAGAAAAACACCAGACATTTTTAATTGGTTCTGACTTTTTAAAGAAATACTATAATGAGAAAACACCTATCTTTAGGGGAAATCATTATCTAGATCACTAGCAGCACTTTTTCACACTAATAAAAGTAAAGAAWATTTTAAAATTCCAATTTACTGTTCAGCATCAGCACTTCAGGATTTCTGCATTTCACTCAGCCTG